TAGATCATCAATCTTCAACTCGCAATCAAGTGATCAGGTGTGGACTTATCGCCCAGTTTTTTTCCCCGAATGTACCAGCCGAATAAAGTTCTTCTTTAAGATGGACGATAATAGCAGCTACGAAAATGATCTTTCTATCGATAATCCGTATGAGCAACATGAGCGTACGATTATCCAACAAGGCGACCGAGTAGGAGAGTTAGCAGCTGAGCCCTTGTCTGGTACGTAGTGTTGGGACAGTAACCTTTGTTCACTCTTCCAGTACTGTACTCGATATTTATGCTAGTTCATACCATCTTCTCACACTGAGCCATAGTTTTTTGTAAAAATGCCTTTCTACTATTTTCGGTTACAATACGTTGGAAAACCATAAGTAGTGATTGATAAACACTTGCCCCTAAATTCCTCCTCGCGTAACCAGAGTGCTAATATCATTTTCTTTTACTATCCTACTATCGCCTTATTTTAGCGTTCGCTCCTTCACCAGAAGAGGAGCTCGATATTGAACAACTACAAAGTGCCATCGCGAAGTTGAAAAATATTCATGAATTAGGGGAAAAATCACAGTGTATGGTGAGGTGTAAATTAATCTGGAAATTTCTTAAAAAATTAGTTTTCAATGTTTTTTAAAAGAGGGGTTTATACTTGATTTTTTCAAGATGTGCATTAGAAAACAGGAGGTTTGTAGTGAAGCTCACGCATTTCTCAATCACGTCAATCGCGTACATGCCAAAATCCAGCTGTAAGTAATCTCTATTCAATACTAAATAATTTGCTTGTCAATCATCATTATATTGTTGTCCTTTCAGGTACGGTTGTTTGTACTGTAATTTTGCGGGAGCTTCAAAATGTTCAGTGAAACTTCACCTTCGTGCACATAGAAGTTTCTTGAACCTAGACGTGAAATTATCTCAGTATTTCAAAATTATGCCGTGAGTAGCTCAATACTTACAAAAAATATGTATTCCATTGTTTAACTCCGACATCGGAAGATAGACGTATTTGAAACGCTCAATAGATCGAATTGGACCACGTTCCGTGCCCGCAGGGCGCGGTTTTAGAGCACGTCAGCCACCCTGGATTACACGTGTAACGTTTTTGTCTTCGCTTTT